TCTTAGTGCCCAGAAGCTGCCCCTGTCTTCACTGGAAGCTGCTTGATACTTAAGGCTCTGCAAATCAAACTGCTTGCTAAGAGATTTCTGTGTGTTGAAGAATCAACTTTGAAAAATCTATCTTTTCCTATGGCTTCTTCCTATTTTCCAAGTTTCTAATGCAAAAATGTTGTCCTGATGGTATCTGTTTCCTAACTTCCTTATATGTCAGTAGGGAGAAAAGGGGAAAAAAAGAGAGAATTTGTATTTTTGTATAGTATAACAGTTTTATCTAATGGAAAAAAGCACTATATCTGAGGAAAACAAAAATCAAAGAACTTGGTAGATTATGATGGTTAAGAATTAAGAATGAAATGACATATGAAATGCAAAGTCCAGTAACAAGTTGATCTGACAAATTCAAGTTGATATTGTAATTTATAAAGCCCATGGCTAAGTGAACAGGGAGTGAGAAAGAGGGAATGATGCATTTAACAAGAGAAGAAAAATTGGAATAACTGAAAGAAAGCTGTTATTTAAGATGTGAAGTTAAATGTGAAATAGGAGAAGCTTTCAGAGTGATGAATAAGCTCTCTGATAAGCTTTTGCTAGATAAAGGAAAAGCAGTAAATCTAACCTCTATCCTCCAGACACCATTTGCTCTGATGACATGCAGGAAAGTTATTAGTTTAACTAGAGGAGAAGGGATTACTGAACAAATTATAAAGTGGGCAAAGAAATAACAGAAGAGAGCATAGCATTTTGCTGAAGTGGGACTGTTTGACATTCTATAAATCCCTCTCCTGTAGTTGGGATTTAATGGTTTTGTTAATGACTCGGGCACAAAAGATAGGAGTTTGTTGATCGCAGAAGTGGGAGATCTCATGAAAATGAGGGAAGGTAGATATTTAGTGGAAGAGTTGGGTGTCCCCCAAATGGGGTAAACTCTAACATCACACAGTAGAATATAATGCTGCTTAGCAGTAGTAGCAAAATATGCACAAAATGTGGCAATGTTTAGAAACAGCAGAGGAGAAGAGCCAGATATACTAAATCATAGAATAAGCAAGAGCCCGTTAAAATTTGCAGTGGACTTCACTACAGAGAACCTTGTTAAACCCTTGTGGATATCTGGCACAGGGCCATGCTGGGTTAAGCTGTTCTTGCCTCACTGAAATGTCCCCCTGCACTGCAGTGTCTGTCGTCTTTAGGTGGGGAGCCAGCACAGAAGCTAGCAGTCACCAGTGATGTCTAGGGAGGGGAGTAAGAGGGAGAAAACCCAACTCTTGCACTGGAATTGCAGCAGGTGCAGAGGGAGAATGCCAGGCTTTTCTCATGAAGAAGTTATGAGCCCCATTTCTTTAGCCTTGCAGAATAAATAAAATCTGTAAGCAAAGCTTTTGCTTTTTGTAAGTCTGTCAAGGGGTGCATATGAGAGAGAGGGGGGAAAAAAACTAAGCTGAAGGGGTGTACTGAAAAAAAACTAAGCTGAAGGTTTCACAAGAGTGAACAGCTATAAGGTGGTTGTGGGTGTATTTATGCTGGTAATTAGCAGAGGGCTCATTAGAAGGGTGAGGTTCTAGAACAGCAGGAAAAACAGGAATAGTGGGAGCACAAATGCCTGCACAGTTCAAAGGAAGGGCTGTCTTCATTAGGGAAGGGATTATATGATGCAATTCTCTACAGTGAAAGGGAACTTGGATTTAATGATCCAGGACATTTCTTCCAGCCTTAACTGCTTCCTCAGAACTGTGTATTCTGCAAGCAGGCAGAATAAACTTCAACTCCAAGTCATGGACTCTGAAAAAATTGTTATTGTTCTGGCATAAGCTGTGTGGAAAGTCAGATTCTCTGATCTTAGGTGCTCTTTGGACTAAATAATAAGGACTAAAATGTCTTTATGACTATTTAAAGAACAAAATTTCGTTGGAGAGCTGAAGTAGCTTTCAGAGCAGTTTGCTGTAACCATGGTGGTGTGGGATCCTTTCACGGCTGGTATGCTTGGCTCTCATTTCTCTTACAACCCCATGTCAGAAGGTGGGTTTATTTTAGAAATCATTGGAAACACAGGCAAGTCATTATGTGGAAAACATTGTATTACTGAGCAAAGCAACCCCTACGTAAAATATCTCACAACTAATGATTGTAGCTAAAGTATATGAAACACATGCTGATTAACTCTGAGCAGGGGGAATAAAGCAGCCTGGTGCCTGCGGGCTGTGCTGTTCAGTCTACATTCTTGTTCAATCCCCATCACATCCTTTCCCCTTCCCCTGCTTCCCTGCAGATGTCATAGTCTCATTGCAGCCATCCATTCCAGCACCTTCACATCTCCCAGTTTCACTTCTATTTTCCTGCTTCCAAAAGATGGAATTTTCTTTTCCTTTGGGATTTTTCCCTTGAAACTCTGTGGGAGGCGAGAATCATAACTTTTTCATCCATCTCTGTACGTATGTGGGTTCCAGGTAACCTTAGGTAACCCTAAGTGAATTTTTTTTTTTTATATATAAGACAGCTCTTCTTGGTAGCCAGTGTGTGAAATAGCAAACAGCCTTCTGTTCTGCGGATTTTTTGCATGAGTTTTTTTTTTGTGTGTGTGTGCAGGTGCTAGCTTTTCAAGCAGCTTTTTTTGTGAAGCAGCCTGCCCTTCCATTCTTTACCAAGAATCTTCCCAGTCACCAAATGTAAAATAAGGTCTTATAGTGCTTTTTGCTTTCTAGCTAGGTCTTTTTATTGGATAAGAAGGTCTCTTAGTGTTATTTTAGAGTCTAACTGGAAGCAGGTAATACTTCAGATTTCTGTTGTCAGTTCAGAGTTTGCTTTCTGCAAATTCCATGCTATGTACTTAGCATTCATAGTTTTCAGATTCTTTCCTCCTGGCAAAGTTCTTACAGAAATGCCCTTAGTGGGAAGGAACACAAAAGGACTGCAAACATGGGGGGGGGGATGGAAATCAGGATTTTTCATTGTGACTAACTTAGAAATGTTTGCCCCAGCTGTACATAGTAGATTCCTTCCATCTCTGATTTCTGAGATCCAGCATTAAATGTGTTCTGGGGTGTGAAACAGGAACACTGTAGTGTGCCAAAAAAAAAAAAAAAAAGCCTAAGGACACTATAGTGTTCTTAGTTGGACATGGCCTGTCTGAATATCTTTGTCCAGTTCTCACAGTGGGGGGGAAAAAGGGGAGGAAGGGGGGAGAAAAAAAAAAAAAACTTTATCTCTTCTGTTAGCTGCAGCACCTGAATATCTCCAAAGTGAGGCTGCTGTCATACAGGACACTTGGTCCGTGATGCCTTCTGCCTGCTTTGGTTGGCTCCTGGCCTCTTAATGAAACATTCTTGCTACCCAAGAGAGAGTTAATATTAGTCAAGAGACAAGTCTGTTCTTTCTTGCTTGCTTTCCCCTACCTCCTCCAAGTTGTTTTCACCTAGCAGCAGGTTTTATGGTTTGATGTATGTCAGCAGGCTGCCAGACAACCCTGCTGGGAAGGATTAGCTGGTCAGAACAACCAGACTAGGGAATATTTCCTCACCAGGAAGTGTGTGTTGCATGGGTGTTGCTCCAAACCTGAATGATGGGATCAAAAAGTCTGTGCTTGGATGAGGAAAAAGTACAGCGTGTTAAGGTTCGGGTCATATTGCTTCATTTCTTTTGATTTCTGTTTATCCTTGTCTATAGGCAGAGCTTATCCCAGACAGCCTCAGATATGTAGAAATGATGGAGAACATCTGTGTGCAGAATCCAGGCACTGTCTGGCTAGGAATTCACAGATCCTCCTACCACAGAGAGCTTCCGAGGGCTGTATCTCACCAGTACACAGCCCCTCATGCACCTCTTGCAGTGCTGGGTCTCACCCTTAGGAGCATTATGAGCACTGCCCCGTGCGCCCTCCCAATTAGGATGTTAAAAGTCATTTGGAAACATATGGTCAATAGGAGGAGGGCTGGCTGATGGAGAAGGGAATTTTTGACTACAACCAAGAATCAGATCCTACATGTTATGGACTGACTGTGGCAAGTAGTTAGTGATTGGGAAAGCTATTATTTCATACATCCATTTTTAAAAACCTGTAGGAGACAAGGCTTTGGTATCTCTAGTTAATAATGACTGGAAAGCCTGAACCACGTTCAGGAGGTTTTAGGGTGTTTTTTTTTTTTTTTTTTTTTTTTTTTTTTTTATTTGACAATTTGCAGCCATATTAGCACAAAGGAAGCAGGAGTAAAAATATTTCTATTCAATCGATGGAGACTGAGAAGGGCTGTAAAGATGGCAGAAAGTTTGTTTGTGGAATATAGTGTGTGATGCATTAGTAAATTATTTACTCAGACTCTAAAGGTAAAAGTTTATTTGAATATTTATCTGTTATCCATTAACTGCTCACTTTCATATGTTTAAATGCTTGAGTATGCTCATCCGTAACATCCTTGGCTTTTAATACGGTGCCAATGTTAACTTGCTGTTATTGCCATGCAAAACGTTTCTGGATCGCCCATTGGGAACCAGTTCCACTGAGATTTCTCCCCTAAGTGTAGCATGGCTGTTGGGGGACACACTGTAGCTGCATGGCAGCAGTACTGCCCCTTCTAGATGAGCATCCTCTTCCAAATGCAGCTGTTTCAGTGAAAGATGTAGCTGTGCCCCAGGGGGTCATAACCTGGAGCCAGCCACTCCTTTGGTGTGCTGGCCAAGGACTCTGTAATTCACTTCATTTAATCACCCATTCCCTGTCCATTAGCAAGGTCAGCTTGTGGGCCTCACTTGGCACCAGTACCAGTCTGCAAGTCGTCATATGATCCTTTTTTTCTAGGATAGCAGTGAGAATAGTCACCTCTGCCAGAGGGAAATGTAAGTTACTTGGGATAGTACCTTTCTTTTGGTTCATCCACCATCCACTTGCAAAAGAAAAGGTGTTCCCAGTTCCATAGACTGGACTGGGGGAGGCTACGGGCACAAAGGATGAAAAGTTTGCCAAACCTTTAATGCTTAATTTTCCCCTCTTTTCCTCCTAGGATTTTTAGAGTATCTCAGAAGACATCTCAGGTGGATGAATTAACTTCGCAATGGCTGAACTCACAGTGGAGGATGGTGGCTGTATGGACTGGCAAAAACGGTGCCTTGCATTGGAGTCCCAGCTCTTCAAATTCCGCCTGCAGGCAGGCAAGATCCGAGAGATCTTAGCTGAGAAGGTGAGGCAGTGCTTGCTCCTGAACTACAGAATGAAAGCAAGAGCCCTAAACATTAATCCATTCAGTAAAACTGCTGGCTGTGGTAGGGATCTCTTTCTCGTTCACAGGGTGTCATTTCACTCTGTTCAGCACTTGAGATATAGGGTTGTGTCTGCCAGAATGGTGTAAACTGGCCTTAGTAAAAATAAGTATTTGGTTTTTTACTGGAAAATTACCAGTTATTTTGACTGCACTGGAAAACAAAGATTTATTGGATGCTTGAAGTGACTGAGGCAAATATAGAGCAAGGATGGGTGCTCTAAATAGGAATAATGAGGTCTGGATTGGGCTGGCAATAGAAAAGCTTGCAGGGATGCAAATTACTCTGTAATGTTGAAAGAGCAGATGGGATACAAATAATGCTGTAACTTTAAAGTAGTAATGCCTACCCAGTCAAAGCATTCTGGGGATACTGGAGAGAGGACTGAGCTGCTCTAGGAAATCTGAACATCTGTCTGTCCAGATGAGGACTAGAGCATGAGATGAATTCTTTTGATGTCCTAGGGGAGAGGGATGAAAAAACTTGAGATTTTGTTGTAGTCTTTGTAGTGTTTGTATGGTGTTTGGTTTCCCATATGGGGTAGGTTTTTGTTTTTACTGTGTTTCTTAAAAGGGGTTACTCTTCAGTTTGAATTAGTGCACATTTTCGCTAAGTTCTTATCTGCATTTAATCCGAGTTTGTCATTTACTTTGAAGTTACTTGTTTGTTCTGAAACGTGGCTTCTGATATTCCAATACTGTTTAAGATTATTTAGCTGTTCAGTTACTATTGGAAAGTGAGGACAGCTTCTTTCAGTCACAGCTTGCTAATGAAGCTGAAATCTCTGCAATACACTGCAGTTGACTCCAAATGTTCTTAAGTTGTGTCTGATGAAAGATAAGTTCTATTTCACTTTTGTTCAGTTTCATATTGTGAAACATTTACAAATATATTCTTGAGGGTTGGTTTTGGATTTTTTTTTGACACTTTCAGAGAGTGGAGCAATTTTCATCCTTGCTTTCAGTGTAATTATATTTCAGCTAACACTATATATGGAAAATCCTCCTCATATTAGTCAAACAAATGGCGCAATTCCGAGCACACCCTTGTGTATCCGCAGTAGCTTCTGAGAGGGAATTCAGTCAGCCTGGAAAATGTTAAGAATGGTTGTAAAGTCCTATTAGATAAAGGAACTGGAATCGCTTACAGACATAGCCTGCATCTTGTAAGGGCAACTGAGATGAGCAATATTCTGCACTTGCTGCATTATAGCATCTGTGATCATATGTTTTATTAACTCCTACTGTGAAAAACTTTCTCACTACCTCATTACCCCCACAAAACCAAAACCCACCTATTCTCTGGAGAGGCTGTTCTCCAAAGAGACCCCTGTTACATTCTCCCTGTAAGGAATCTCGTGGGCCATGTCAGAGAACAAAATTGTCATCTGCTTCAGGGGACCCGACCTCAGTTAATCCAGCCCGGCAGTCAAAGCGAAGTTCCCTTCTTTGAGATTAGAGAGCAGCGTGGTTCAGTGACCAGGTTACTCTGTAACTACTAGCATAGCTCTGTGATGTGCTTAGCTGAAGGGTCAAAGAGCTAATAAGTTTGTGACTCTGTCCTTAATCGAAGGAAGAGGAGAGGGCTCAGGTAACATGGGGCAGCTCCAGCAGGCTCTCAGGGCACTGATGCGAGGCTCCAGCATGTGCTGCTGACGCTGAAAACTGCTGCTGGGGAAGTCTCCTGTGCCTCAACTTCCTGAGGCCCCTGCTGCAACCTGCTCGGGGAGCCTCCTTCCCAGCCCGAGCTACAGGGCTTTCCAGCAGCCCCAACAACCAGGGCTCCTGGCCATGCTGTAGTCTCCAGCCCATCAAATAGTTGGGCAGTGACAAACAGGCGAAGAAAGTGGAGGGGGAGGAAGGTACATGCTCTACATGCCAACTTCAGTGGTTTTTATCATATATTCTATAGCATTTGTGGTTTATTCTTTTTTCTTATGGACCCATCTGTGGGAATTAAGAGGTACAGACTGCTTTTGAAGTAGTGTTGCACCCTTTAAAGAGTTTTGAGGGGAAAATCTTGGAAAAATATGAACTGGACACAGTCTGAAGCTGTGTCGTCAACCTGTGGTGAATGCTGCCCTGAGACCTTCTAGATATACGTCACAGCAACAGAAATTTTTTAAAAAAAGAATGGAAACTGCCTTTGCCAGAGAAAGCAAAGAACCACTAACCAGTGGTGTGATTGTTTGCTGGTATAGCTAGGGACCTATACCCATCTAGCAGTCTAGAATTTACTGCCTGAAAGGCTTGGAAACCTGATCTTCACTCTAAATCACTTTTTTTTTCTTTAATAGTTTTAGAGATATTTTATTATTTATAATTCAAAAAAAATTGCTTGTGGCTGATATTGGCAGTACTATGCACGCTAACACTTCAAATACTTGAGATTTTTGAAATCCGCTTAGATTCAATAATCTAGAGCTCTTTTCAGAACATGAGGAATTTAAAACCCAGCAGTTTAAGTACCAGTGCCCTAGTTCACACTGGGAAAGTGTGAACTTTCGCTTTGATAGCCTGGATCACAAATATTCTCTTGTATCAGACAAGGTGCCCAGAGCCAGGCTCTGTCAGCCTGAACAGGCACGAGACAGGCATGAACAGGTTTTTCACTCTATTTTATTTTGCATGTTCTTCGTGAATAGAACTGGGGAGGCCTGGGTGAATGGTTCATAGGAGAATTTTTGTAGGGACATCTGGGTAGCTTTAACTTCACTATGTCTTGCTTCAATAAGTAATGAACATTTGGGGTGGGGGGGTAAACTGTTTTTGTCTCATGCAATATTGTCTGCACAACTGGGCCTGTTACTCTCTGCATACAGGGTGCCTGGGCTAACGCTTGGGAAAGAAGCTTCTTGAATTTGGCTTTGCCGTTAATTTGTTTTGTGACCCAGGTCAAGTTCCTTAGTAACATTTGTCAAGTTATAAAGCATTTTGAATGAAAGGACCCACATAAATGCCAAGCATTATTATTAATTCATTGAGGGATTTGAGAGAGCCTTAGAAACACAGGCGTATTAAATCCAAATATGCCCCAGCAAGGCAGCTGACACCAGCGTTGGTGAGGTCATCATTTTGTGTATAGGAGAAACACAGCCGTTATTTAACAGTTCATAGTAGGACAACCCAACGGTGTAGTACAGGAAGTAAAGAAAGTAAGAGTTCATCTGGGGCTACGGGGGAATTAGAGTGGCAGAGAGTGATTGATTTGCCTGGAATTTAGCCAGGT